AAACTTCAATTCAAATCTCTCAAGTTCACTAAATGCTTCATAATAATAATTATAATTACTTTCTTTTTCTGATATTTGGGTTGTGTAAAAAAAAATACTATTGCTAATTATGTGTATAATAGTAAGCAATGTAAGTTCCGATGCATTGTTAAGGTGCAGTAGAGAAATAAAGTATTCGTGATTTTGTAATATTTTTTACACAATAAAAAATTTTGATTCTTTCAAATTTTCCGAAATGACACATGCAATTTTGATAACGATAATGCTAGAGCATCAAGTTGACATTTTATAGAAGTCAATTAAAGACTATATCTATGGACAATCATAGCATTCTTTTACCACAGCCAACTTTAAGCCCAATCGCATAAAAGTTTCCGAATTTGGTTCGTATGGCTTTTACCATGTGATTTGTTTTTTTTTAATCCATTGATTTTTTTTTTTGAATTGATGCAAATGAATGAAAATAGAAATTAGAAATATAGTTTTAGATGATGCGGTGTTCGTTATGAAAGACTTCTCGCGAAATTTCTTATCGGATATATCTTTGTTTTTTCAAAGCTCACCGTGAGTTATTTTCAAAATTTCGCTCTGTTGATCATTAATATACAAACGTGCAAAAAAAAAAAATGACGCGATCACCAGACAAATTTTTATCCAAAAGCAAATTCATTCTGCGGAGTAAATCCACAAAATCAATCGTACCTCTTGCTTCAACTCAACGTACAATTCCGTATCCACTTTCTTTAGATTGTCTCATAAATATTATTGAATATTTAAAAAATGACCGTGCAACTTTATATTCATGTGTAATGGTCAATCGAATATGGTGTAAAACCTCAGTGCCATTACTTTGGAGTCGACCATTCGAACATCAAATGTTTGGAAAAGAAGTAACAATATTACAAACATACATCTCATGTCTCAATTTTCATGACAAAGCTCAATTAATTGATCATGGAACCCAATTACCTGATATGCCGAATCCTACATTCGATTACCCAAGATATTTGCGTGGATTCGATAGCGAAAATTTCGATCGTGCTATTGAGGATTGGATGATGATGGTATGTCTAGCCATGGATTCAGATTACGAAGCTAGGGTTAAACTGTGTAATAGAGTTATAGGAAATTTATTATTTAGTCGAACTAATGGGTTAAAAGTCTTGAAAATTGATCGGGGAGAGATTGAGGATAGTTGTCTAATGAATATTGTGAATTTAAATGACAAAATATCAGAAAAAGAAAGTAATTATAATTATTATTATGAAGCATTTAGTGAACTTGAGAGATTTGAATTGAAGTTT